GACAAAGAAGAATAGTGACAAAAACTAAATTCCTCAAATATCAAGAGCAAACAAGACATTATGTAGGATAAGGGTTAATTTTTTCACCTTACACATTTAACTTGTTGATGTCAACTTTTTTTACTTCAATCCTTTGATTATTTCTCGCATAAATACATTTTGCTCATGTCTCGTACTGTATGATTTATGGCTCATGAGTCCTTTTTGTCTCATTACATTCACATGCAAAATGACTTTCTTTACTATAGTTAACGCACTTAACTTTAGCTTTGCTTTATTAGACTAAGCCTTAAGACCATTTACTTTGCCACTTTGCTCACTTTTTAATCTTTTAGCAGCTTTCTCTTAGTTTTTACTATATGGCGTACATTTGAAGCCCATAGCTTCCTTTAATCATGTGTATGTCATATAAATATTACAACTAGACTTATATTTCTCTTTGCCACTTTGCTCACTTTTTGATCTTTTATGAGCTTTCTCCTAGTTTTTACTATATGGCTTATGCTTGAAGCCCATAACTTCCTTTAAACATGTGTATGTCATATAAATATTAGCACTAGACTCATATGTTTTTTATACGATCTTAATATCAACACTAGAGTCATATGCTTTTTATACGATATTTCTCTAATTAAATACGACAAGAAAGCATCATTAAAAGTCCTTATACTCTTATTATAGATCAAGTATATCTTTATATGCTTTTAATTATAGGGCAATGATTGAATTTTAGCTTGAACCTTGTGTTCATCTATTAGAATGTGATCAACCTTTTTTTTAAAATAAATTTTGTTGTCAAGGCATTCCACATCTTTTTTAACAATATCATGCTACCTGAACTCATGCATGATATCATTTTTCATAATGTTTAGTAGCGTAATGTAAGCAGTGGAATTTCCTCTATCTAGGCTTCACAAGCTCTTAGTCCCTTCTATGGTCGGATGTATTTTTTTACTCAGGCTCTACTAGGATAATATTTAGAATGTCAAGAATATGTTCTTTTAACACATACTAGGTTTTCATATTCCATATTTCATAATTATCCCCATTTAGTAACAATATACTTAAATACAAAAGCCATATTCAAAGGGTAATTCAATATTGAAGGACACATGCATAAATTAATGCCTAGCATTACATATTTATTTTGCCACAGTGTCGTAAATAAAATAATGACAATCATTCACACAAAAATGAAACCAAAATGTTACTATGTTTGCAATTAAAGTTCATTTTTAATGTGTTTGATTATCACTAATTTATTTTATTGTGCAAAATTAACCAATCTAAGATAGAACAAGTCAATTATCTTATAACTCTCATTAACCATAAGGTTACCTTCAATCAATGACATACATTAATTGAAATTCACATAGACAAGTCTTATATAACATGTACATACTGAGCATATGAACAAATTCCATCATTAAACATATGCATTGTTAATTAACTATGTTTTCAATCAGTACATATCAATTGTCTAGTAACTAGGATGGAATCCATAAATTCCTATAATAGTTTCACATAGTTATCCATAAAGATCCAAAGATTTTGTGTGTGCTATTATGGAGACTTGGGTCAATAAAGAAAGTCGTATTCCTCTTTGCCCCTTTCTCACAAAATCACAATATTCCTTATCAAAGTTGTAATATTAGGATGTTTCCTTTAGTTAAACATCCAAAGATCTTTAAAAAGATTCTTTTGTCTTAGTGTAAGGAGTGTATCTATTCAATATCATGTATATGTTTAGATCATCCTTCCACGTATATTGCCTCACAAGATCAACTTTTTAATCTTGTTGTTAACACTTGATGATATGACACACAATATCATCATCATTTGGATCCATTCAATGCTGCACTAATTTAATTAGTAGCCTTATGACTCTAACTAATTACGTCAAGTCCTTCTAACAATAGGAATTCTCACAATTATTGTCATGATTTTTTGTAACATATATACAAGAAATTTCATGAACATACACAAGTCTCATAACAATTAAAACATATTTTAATAATTCTTTTACTTTTTATACTCCTAAAGTTAACCAAGAATTATCAATTTTTTCTAAAACATTTTTTTAAACTTTTTATTTTCAATCTTGTGAAAAATCATGTAGAGCATTTGAATTCTCTAATAAGGTATTCGAATGCCTATTAAAAAATAGGTTAAAAATTAAAATTTTGCTTAAGGCATTTGATTGCCTTATCGAGTATTCAAATGCTCAAGTTCTAAAACTAAAAACTCGATTAAAAATAATCCAAATGATAGTGGCAACTTGCGTTTAAATATTTTAGAACATTCATAACAACTCTATACAACAAAATTACACACTTTTATGTAATACTTTCATAAATTTCCAAATACATTCCAATAAGAACTCAACAATTTTGGTGTTTTAAGACAAATATCGAAACAACTAGGAATCAAGCCAATCTAACTCTGATACCAATGAAGGATAATCTAATAATATAATGAACATGATCATATATTATAAATAATGCAAAAGACTTATTTGATTTTGGGAAGCATAGCGAAAGTATTTTTGTGAAAGTATTACGGAAGCGATACCAATTTGATTTACCAGTCAAGGATAAGATCACGCATTCAAAATTTGTCCACTATCCATCGCATAAGTCCTTAAACACTAAAGTATGAGATTCTTAAAAAGTTTTCTTTCATATACTGATCTATTTTTTTTTCTATCTTAATCTCTATATGACTCATCACATAACTCACATGAATGAGACTCATCTCATACTTGGTTTGGTTGAATATATTCATCCTTTTAATTATGGTTGAATTCCATAATGAATATTGAGAGAAAAAAAAGACTGACCCATCTCTTTTGAACATTTTCTTCATCTTTTTCTTTTATGGCCAAATGCCATGAATAATTGAGAGAGAGACCACCTTTGGTTTACATTGGTTTGTAATAGAAAACCAAAAAATTATTAACTGCCCATGGCAGTTTTCTTTTAGTCTTGGTATTAAGATACCAATAACTATCCTTTTTATAGTTATCTAAGATGGGAAAATTGGCAAGAGTTTTTTAAATTATAATAATTAATTTTCTTTTCGTTTCATTTTAAGTTGCATATGAAGTTAATTATTCATGAATTTATAATATTTATGAACCTAATTGATTGTTGATGAATATATTTAATGTTTAGCGTCATTAAAATTTAATATATTGAGTTTTTTTGAAAAAAAATTTAATATATTGAATCTACATTTATATCAATTGAATAATATAAATATCCATGAATTAAATCCAGATTGTTATCGTCAACATATGTTCTTGCTGTATTCATTTAAAATCTTCTTATAAATGGCAATGAATCTAAATATTTTTATTTTAAGTTATAGAAATTAAATTATTTAAGGTATCCATAAATATAATTAATTGTGAATGAATACATAGTATAATTTAAGTTTAATATTTTGCATCTAGATTCTAGATTTATGAATATCATGAATTAAATTTAAATTGTTCTTGTTAATATATGTTCCATTGCTGTATTCATTTAAACTCTTCAAACATGAATAGCAATTATAATTATGCTTTTTATATATATTTAAATTTTAAATTTGATATTTTATGTTTCAGTACTTTGTAAAAGTAGAAGTTGTTAGTCTTGAATAATTAGAAATTAAGTATTTTTTTTTAGTTTATGCATTAAAATTTTAAATTAAATGAATTTGTTGACAAAAGAGTGTTTTGTTTTCATTTCTTACAAAATTTTTCGTTAAAAATTACAAATTATTCTTTTTAAAAATGTATTATTTACTCATTCTGATAATAAAGATTTTGTATGTTTTATCAAATAAATATTGTAAAAGAAAAAAAAACTTTTGTCAAGTAGCTTAAGTGAAGGTAAGAATAATTTAATATGAATAAATTAAAAAATTACTTAAATTCACAATAACCAAACTCATTTACTCAAAATTGTCACATTAGCGATGATGGATTCAATAATTTTTTCGATATGTTAATTTATAATATATATATATAATTATTGACGAATTTATAAATTTTATAGACGAAAATAGTGTTTAGGAAAAGATTTTGAAAGTGTTTAGAAAAATTTTTTTCTTAAATTTTTTTTTTATTTTTTCAAATTTTGAAGTGCTCATGGACACTACAAAATTTTATAACACGTTAGAGTATTCCATTAGTAAGGTCACGTGAGCCGATTTCTTTGATTATGATATTAGTGACCAATTTATGCGTATATACAAAAATCTTTCTCATTATCATAGTAAATTTTAAACAATAAAAAAAGTTTGTATCAAATAAAATATATACTTAAGCTAAGGGAATGAAATTATAGCAAAAAGACGTGGTATTGGGTCATTTGTTCTATATGCCCAAAGCAAAATCGAGTAGATCTTTATTCGAAATAGAGCATAAATTAAAAATAAAATATAAAAAATTGATAAATCCTATTAGGAATAAGAAAATGACATCGTGAATTGGATTGAATCCTAATGAAAAAAAAAAAATAGATTGATGAAAATTTTGTGCAATAAATTTAGTGAATATTTTATATCATAAAAAAGGCCAAAATCATCTTTTTTTTTTTTAATTTAATATTTAATTTTATTTTATTTAAAAAATATTAAAAAAAAGCCCATTCATTAAAAGTTAGAACTTAAAAAATCCATCTAAAAAAAACAAAAGATAAGTTGGAATCTAATTAAAGTGTTTATGAACAGTCAAATTATACATATGCATCTACGTTTACGCATAAGATTTAAAAATTTATGTATTTATATCATATCATATTAAATATGTATAAAATAAAAAATTTTATTATATCAAATTTATATTGATATTTTAAATTTAAAATATAATTTTTTTATTTTTTATTAAATTTATATAATTTTATTAAAATTTTAAATTATATTATTTTTGTGTTTCTTTTATGTAATTTTCATAACATATTATCGTGTATTTATGATTGCCTAGTCTCACAGAAGCAACTTAACACTTATCTAGAAAATTTTTCCTCGAAATCGCCAGCTGTTTTAATGTTTTGCCCATGAACTTTTGTCTTTATTGTTAGAGCGTGGGATTGGGGATATAAACAAATACTTAAAAGCAAGAAGAGCTTTCACTTTTATTAATTTCATTTTTATGTTTTAATTATTTTTCCAGTTTTTGGTTGTGTCTTTGAGCGGCTTCCACCTATACCACTTCACACATCTGATCTCAAATCATTCACGCATCGGTACAACGAATGATGTTCACCTTTCCCCACTAAACCAATCTTCTTTCCAAAGCATTTTTTCTCTTTCTCTCACCCTTTATTATCATGGAATAACTTCTCTCTTCTTTGTTTTCATTTCACATGAAATATCATGAGATATTATGGCTGGATTTTGCAGTTTCTTTGTAAAACACTCAAACCCAACATCTTGGCTTGATTTTCCATCAGAGATCATGAAACCACCACACCAACCCTCTCTGTTTATCTAGTTTTCTTTCAGAAGCCGAAAATCTCTGTCGTTCTCCTTAATTGTATTGGTTCAGTCTCAGCAACGGTCTGCCAAACAATAGCCCAAAAGTGAATAAAAAAAGTACCCTTTTTCGAGAAACTAATTATATATGCATTAGATTGTCAAAGTCATAAGACCAGGCCTTTATCTTGGGAAGCACAGTTCTTCTATTCTTGGGAACAGCGAAGCGCTACTTATTCTTCTGGCTTTCTCAGTGGCCAAACGACAGGAGAAAATTTGGTCTAGCCTGAGAACTTCCTATCGGTACGTTACCTCTACCTTATACCTTTTACTTCCATGTCGTTAGATTCATGTCTGTTACAATTTTTTATAGATTTTTTTTTCTTTTTGTTCTTAAATTTTCACCACTGTAAAAGGAAGAAAATCAGCTTCTGAATCCCAAATCTCTTCATTTTCCGTTGGAAAGATTAACCCTTGAAATTCTATTTGAAGGATGTTTTCTCCCTATGTTCTTTGTTAGTACTATTGTCTTTTCATTTTGTTATTAATCCTATAATCCATTGATAATAGCCTAAGGAACCTTAAAGTAAGATATGGGTCTCGACATTTGAGACATTCCAACTTTAAAAAAACTACTTTAAGTTGAACTGATTTGGATTGTTATCTGAACAGTCCAAGAAGTATTCATAAATCACAACCAAGCTCTGACAGGGTAAGTGATTTCTGTTCAAGAATCCCACTTTTTTAATCATTTCTTTTCTTTTCTTGCTGAACAAATCAAAACCATTTAGCTAAAGAATGTGACGAGTAACTTCAAAGCCTAGTCTCTGATTTTGCTATCTTTCTTTTGCTATAATTATAAGAATAGTAAATAATCCACAGCTACAAACAAAATTGACGGTTCAACGTTACATCTGTTTCTCTCTCTTTATCAGTAAAATCTACTTGACAGATTGTTTATTTTAATAATGTTTGTTATTTTAATATTTGTTTGAATAAAATAATTGAGCCTTTTTGTGCATGTTCTTTCTTTTTCAGCTGTTGCCAGGATGGTATTGGATTTATTGGTAACGGATGTCAATATTTCAGCTTCCATAGTGTAATTTCCTGGATTCTCAAGATCTTCACTTGTGTTGAATTGCCATTATGCCCCTCAGCGATTCCAGAATGGCAGGACACCTACTTCTCTCCCTCCAATTTCTTTTTCTATTTTCAATCTTGGTTTTTACTCTTTTCCCGCCTTCTTTGTGCCTTACCGTTGAAACCCAAGCTCTACTTGACTTGAAAAACAAGCTCAAAGACCCTTTGAACGTTTTGGATTCCTGGAATGAATCAGAGTCTCCATGCAAATTCTATGGAGTTAGATGTGATGCAGTTTCAGGCAAGGTCATGGAGATTTCACTTGCTAACAAGTCTCTGTCCGGTGAAATTTCCCCATCCATTTCAATGCTTGACAATCTTGCCAACCTTTATTTGCATCAAAATTCCATTTCTGGGAGAATTCCTGCTCAACTAAACAGTTGTACCAACCTCAGACTTTTGAACCTGACTAGGAATAAAATGGTGGGAATCATACCGGATCTTTCAGGACTTAAAAACTTGGAGGCTCTTGATTTATCGTTCAACTCGTTTTCAGGCAGGTTTCCAAGTTGGGTAGGAATCTTAACCGGACTGAGTTATCTTGGTTTAGCGGGTAACGCTTACGATGAGGGTGAAATTCCTGAGAGTATTGGGAATTTGAAGAACTTGACTATGTTATTTCTAGCTATGTCAAATCTGAGAGGACAGATTCCAGAGTCTATTTTTGAGCTGAAGGCCTTACAGACATTGGATATGTCTCGGAACAAGATTTCTGGTGATTTCCCGCAGTCGATTTCCAAATTGCGAAATCTTACCAAGATTGAGCTGTATCTCAACAATTTGACTGGCGAGTTGCCACCAGGGATAGCAGATCTTTCTTTCTTGCAGGACATTGATATCTCCTCGAATCAGATGCATGGGACATTACCGGAAGAGATTGGAAATCTGAGGAATTTAGCTGTCTTTCAATGTTACAATAACAACTTTTCTGGAGAGATCCCTGCAGGTTTTGGAGATATGCGTCATCTTATAGGGTTCTCAATCTACAAAAACAAATTTTCTGGGCAATTTCCTGCAAATTTTGGCCGATTCTCACCGTTGGACAGTTTTGACATATCCGAGAATCAATTTTCAGGTGACTTTCCTAGGTTATTGTGTCAAAGGAGAAAGCTAAGGTTGTTACTGGCTCTTGAGAACAACTTTTCAGGAGAGTTTCCGGATTCGTATGTTGACTGCAAATCGCTGGAAAGGCTCAGGATCAGTAAGAACAATTTTTCTGGGAATATACCGGATGGACTTTGGGCACTTCAACATGCCAGTGTGATTGACTTTGGTGATAATGACTTTACTGGAGGGATATTCCCCAGCATTGGATTTTCCATCTACTTAAATCAATTGCTTCTGCAAAACAATAGATTTTCAGGTAACCTTCCATCTGAAATTGGCAAGTTGACAAACCTGGAGAGGCTTGTATTAAATAATAACAACTTCTCTGGCAATCTACCTGCTGAGATTGGTGCTCTGAAGCAGTTATTCTCCTTGCATCTTGAGCAAAACTCACTAACTGGATTGATACCAGTGGCAATAGGTGATTGTGTTAAGTTGGTGGACTTAAATCTTGCTGATAATGATTTCGGTGGTAATATCCCACCAACAGTTTCACTCATGAGCTCTTTGAACTCTTTGAATCTTTCAGGAAACAAACTTACTGGTTCAATTCCGAAAAATCTAGAAAAATTGAAGCTAAGTTCCATTGATTTGTCTGAGAACCAATTGTCCGGAAATGTTCCTTCTGATCTTTTGACCATGGGTGGAGACAAAGCATTTCTTGGGAATAGGGGACTCTGTATTAACCAAAGTTCTAAAACTCTTATGAAGGATACTGTGTTGAATGTCTGCAAGGAAGAGCAGAGCCGGAAAAGGGTGCTTGGAGGTAAATTGGTTTTCTTCATCATCATAGCAGTTTCTTTACTTCTTGTTCTAGCTGGGCTACTGCTTTTGAGTTACAAGAACTTCAAGCTTAGTGAAGCTGACATGGAAAACAGTTTGGAAGACGAGAAAGGAGTAGATCCAAAATGGAAACTTGCAACTTTTCACCACATGGATTTTGATCCAGATGAAATATGTAATCTGGAGGAAGAAAATCTGATTGGAAGTGGCAGCACAGGAAGAGTTTATCGCCTGGATTTGAAGAAAAAGGGTAGTGTGGTTGCTGTCAAGCAACTATGGAAAGGGGATGGTCTGAAGGTTTTGGCAGCAGAGATAGAAATTTTGGGGAAAATAAGGCACAGAAACATACTGAAGCTCTATGCTTGTCTAATGAAGGGGGGATCAAGCTATTTGGTGCTTGAATACATGGCAAATGGTAATGTGTCTCAAGCACTTCACAGAGAGAAAAAAGGTGGCCAACCAGAATTGGACTGGTACCAGAGATATAAAATTGCCTTAGGAGCTGCAAAGGGAATTTCTTATCTTCATCATGATTGCTCCCCACCCATCATTCATAGGGATATAAAATCAGGCAACATTTTACTTGATGGGGATTATGAGCCAAAAATTGCCGATTTTGGGATCGCAAAGATTGCAGAAAAATCTCTGAAGGGATCTGAGTACAGCGGTTTTGCTGGCACCCATGGTTATTTTGCTCCTGGTGAGTTTCAAAATACTTTTCTTTCTAACAATGTTTCAAAGTTTACATAGATATAAATCTCATAAATATATGTGGAATTTTCAAAGTATATGTAGCGATCAGGATATTCCATGTGAGCTGGGTTCTAACCATCTCAATTTTCATTGGCAGAGCTGGCATATACTCTAAAAGTAACTGAGAAAAGTGATGTCTATAGTTTTGGGGTGGTGCTTCTGGAATTGGTTACTGGTAGAGCACCCATTGAAGAGATGTATGGAGAAGGAAAAGATATTGTTTATTGGGTTCTAACTCATCTCAGTGACCGTGAAAATGTCCGCAAGGTTCTTGACAATGAAGTAGCCACTGAAACTGTCCGAGACGACATGATTAAGGTCTTGAAGGTTGGCATACTCTGCACAGCCAAGCTTCCAAATTTGCGCCCTACCATGAGAGAAGCGGTCAAGATGCTTATTGATGCTGAACCCTGCATTTCCATGTCTCCAGATAACCAATCTGACAAAATTGGTAAAGATTTTCTCTAGTTAGTTTCTCTGTTTGTACGACAAACCTATCAAGGATCCAACTCTGATCCCCAAAATTCATAAATATATGAAATCTTGTATTTAGAGTTAATCAGGCTGTAGGTGTTCTACCAGTTAAAGCTTGATTTCCCTGGTTGCTAGAAATCATTTTGTTGGAATCTGACTGAAAGCTTATATATAGCTTTTGTGCATAAAATCATGCATATTTTTGGATTTTGATTCATGACTTTTTTTTTGTTCTTTTTGCAACCAAATGCTCTAATTTAAATTTCTCTCTTATCTTCAAAAGCCAAAGATGAAAAAGGAAAGAGAAATTGGGAAAAAAAAACTGTAAGCTGTGGCTTTATCCTAACAAAGGGAACACATTAGATCCAGTAATTTTCTTTTGAAGAAATTAGATCCAATAATATTAATTATGATAGTTGATATGATATAAAAATCATATAAAAAAAATATGAAAATGATAATTTAAAATTTTAATAAAAATAAAAATTATATTTTAACATGCATATGTTACGAAATAAACAAATAAATATATATAAATTATCTAAAATACATTTAATAGAAAAATTACATGACAAGTTGAGGGGTGAGTTGTTAGTTAATGGAGAGCCCAAGGAATGTAGTTGAAACTTGAAATGAAGAAAAGGTATAAACTTCGATTATTCCGAACAAACGAAAAAGCAGCGAAAAACTTACAAAAATGGTTTATTCGTGCTCGCGTTTGTGCTTAGTTGTTTTCTTTTTTTTTTTTTTTAATTTTTTTATATTTAGAATTAAAAAAATTACGTATATAAATTTTTTTAAAATTTATAATTTCTAACTATCAATTTCAATATCAAGCTAATTACTCCAAAAAAAAAAAAAACAGTAGATATTTATGCTTAATTCTTAAAACTAAAAGATTCTCTCTTTTTTTTTTTTTATAATGAAAGAAATGTGCATCTATAGAATTTTGTAAAGTAAAAATATGTTATATTTGAAATATGAAGATGGTATGTAAAACATGCCAAAATCAACCCATATCATACAAAGAACCGAGATTAAAATCAAATTTATTATATTGAATTTTATTATTATACTTCACTTTTATCATAAAAGAATTGGGCTTTATCTAACTCCATGTTCCATATAATATATATGGAATGTATGAAATGTATAAGAAGAAATATATTAAATTTGATTTTATATTTATAAGATAAATTTTATTTAGCCATATGAAGTTTTGTGGATCTGACTCCTTTTTTTTTTAATTAATGGAAAGTTTTGTTGATAGTCAAATTAAAAGACATATAAACATATCAAAAAAAAAAAAAAGGATAAAAAGAGTACCATATCATAGTTGTAATAAAAAGAATATTGTTTGGTAAAAAAACAAAAAAAAGAATTATAAATTTTATTAAAATGATGTAATTTTTTTATCTAATCATCAATAAGATTTTTCATTTAATATTGAAAAAGAAAAAAAGCCAAATCTGACTTTTGTATAAAATATCAAAAAGAATATTCAATTTCTATAGGATAACTGTTTGAGAAGCGGTTTTTCTTCTGGAGTCCCTAAAATAATTGGAACTTTTGAAAGATCATTTAAATGTGGGAGCTTCTGCCATCAGCTACGTTCCGTAAGCTTCAAAAACGCTCCCAACATGTCACCATGTCATAATGCCACGTTATAAAGAAGAAAAACAATTTAAACGGAGGTCAACCGGTTATGGTTTGTGATATACTTATGGGTTAATATTCCTTTAATCCCTGAACTTTGACAAAAATTTTATTTTGGTCCTTAATCTTTAAAAGTTCAAAATGAATTTTCAGTTGCTCAAAATTATCTTACTTTGGCCCTTCTGTCTACAAAACAGTCTAAAACTAACAGTAAATACCAGTTGACATCATGTAAAAAAAAAGCTGGCACTCACATGATAATGAGGACCAAAATAAAATTACTTCAAAGTTTGAGAACCAAAGATTAAATTATTTTAATATTTTATATATTTTATACATATCTTGTAAAAAAATTAAATTTTTATATTTTTGTTGTAATATAACTTATAAGTTAAATTTTTTGTTTTAAATAAAAAATAGATCTTTAAAACTTAAAATTAAGTTAAAAATTTCAAATTCCTTTCTTAAATTATTCAATACATTTTAAAAACAAAGAAATTATTTTCTATTAAAACTATTATCTTACCCGTAAATCATAATAAAAAAATATTATTTTCTATTCAAAAATTTATTTTTTAAAATATTAAATATCTTTTTTTTTATTTTTAAATATATTTTATAAAAAAATGTTTAAATTATATTTTTTATTTTATATGAATATAAAGTTTTTGACAAAAAATAGAACAAATTTTTGAAAAGATAAATAAATCTAATTTTTAAAATGATATGGAAATATTTGCATAATATTTTAAAATGAAATGAAGCTTTTATTTAATTTTTTAAACTAATATAATAATTTTTATTTAGTTTTTTTAAATCATACGTAATTTTTTTTAAAAATATATTTTGAAAATTTTAACTTAATTTTAATTTTTTAAAAAAATCTATTTCTATTAAAATTATTATTTTATTGATAAACCATATCATAATAAAAATTAAAAAATATTTTACATTATAATGTTTTATAAAATATACTTGAAATATAATAAAAATTTAATTTTTTCTTTAATTATTTTATTTTACCTTTTTTATTTTTTATAAAATATATTTGAAAAAGAAAAATAACAGATATTTAATATTTAAAAAATATATATTTGGATCGAAAATAATATTTTTAATAGAAAATAGAATTGTTTTTTTGTTTTTAAAATGATATTGAGTTTTTAAAAAAGAATTTGAAATTTAACTTAATTTTAATTTTTAAAAATCTATTTTCTATTAAAAACAAAAAATATAACTAATAAATTATATTACAACAAAAAATATAAAATATAATTTTAAATTCAATATTTATAAAATATACATGAAATATATAAATTTTGAGATACTTTTATTTTTTTGTTCCTAAATTTTAAAAAAATTTTATTTTGATCCATTATTTGTTACGTGAGATGCAAGTTGAAATCATCATATAACGACAGTTAGTATTTACTATCAATTTAGATAGTTCTATAAATAAAAGGACTAAAATAGAACAATTTTAAGAAATTAGAGATATGATTAAAACTTTGAAAGATTAGGGATCAAAATATAATTTGAATCAAAATTTAAGAATTATGTGTGCTATTAACCCTATACATAATGCTTTTATTTTAACAATACCTTTTCAAATGTGAGTGTAATCAAACTAAGTCGATATAATAAAATATTTGAGCTCGAATTCGATTTAAAATTTATTATTTAAAATTCAACTTGAGATACGAACTTAACTTGAGATAAATATCGAATTACTCTAATTTATTCGATAAAATTTGTTTAATAAAAAAAAAAAACTTAACTTCAAACTCAATTATTTATATTCGAATTCGAGTTTAAATTAATATGTTTATATAAGTAAAATAATTAAAATATAAAAACTTAATTAAATTCGTGAATTAATCAAACCAATTATTAAAATACTCAAACTTAACACATTCAATTAGATGTATTGTTTGAACTCAACAATAATAAAATCAAATTTAAATTTTATTGAGACCAAATCTAAATAATTTACTGGCACTAATGTTTCATTTAGAGTCCCAAAACTCTACTCATCCTGTGAGAAAAAGATCAGACCGTTTTGACTCCGCTCTTCCAATCTTCTACAAAAATGTTTCATTTAATCATTAATGCATTTATTTGGTTAGTCTTTGGGTCCCCGCACAAAAGTTAATTATCAGTTTTAGTAGACAAAAAAATAAAAAACACCTTATTCTTTTTCAAAATTTTTAGATAAATCTCAATTTTTCTACCGCATCTATTTAAGTCATCAAAATCATATTTTTGTCTCATTAAAACTTTATTTTTGTTTAAGAAAGTTTTTTTTTTAATTTTTTATGAAAATCACTGAAATCTTGTATTTCCTGCCACATCAACCTCTTCGTGATCATTACCTTTGTTATATTAAAATTTACATTACGCACACACACACACATATATATATGGCAAAAAAAATTGTGTAATATAGAACTAGCAACATTACTACACGTTGCAGCGGGTTAAAATTTATTTTATTTGTATTTAATAATATTTTTATTAATTTAACAAATCAGTAAATATAATTATATTTATAATTTTTAATAAAAGCAATGATTAGTAAAAATTTATCAATTAATTGTGGATAATATATGTATTTTATTCTCATAACTTATATATATATATATATATATATATACAAATCAAATTCATATTTACTTTTTCAAATTTATCTTTATAAAAATAATGAAAAATATTAAATTAAATTAAATTAAAACTAAAAAAAAAAACCAACAGGAGTGCTACATGGACACTTCCACTCAAGAATGGCATCAAGTTGCATAGAGGTAGGTTTATACTCATTTTGACCCCTATTTATTATTTTTTACACTTGACCCTAACCCAACATATATATATATATATATATATATATACACACACATATGTATAACTTGCATTGAACCCGACTTGATAAAAATTAAATTAATAGTATAACATTCATAAAAATATTATTTTTTAATAAAAATTATATTTTAATTATTTATAAATATAGTATTTTAATAAATTAAGGATTAAATGATAATTTTATCAATATAATACATATATATAAATATAAATTAAATAAATAATAAGATATATATTCTTATATATACACTAGGATGAGATGGAATAGAGCATCCTAAACTCTCCAATCCTACCCCAATTTTCAAAAAAGAAAAATCATCCCACACTGACTCGATTTCGATTTTAAAAAGAATCATTCTTGTTAGATCAATGGATCAAACCCAATGGATACATGTTATTTTGGCATCATAACTTTCATTGATGTCATTTCTTTTAACATTTATCTCATTAAAAAAAAGGTAAAAATAAAAAATAAAAAACAAAGAGATGGCTAAAAGAAGAAAAAAGGAAAATGAGCCCAAATAGATGTGCTACGATTGACATTGTAATTGTTCATTTACTTTTCCAAACATAAATAAGAAATAATAAAATACAAAATTAAAAAACAAAAAAAAAAGAAGAAAGAAAAAATGAACAAAGTAGACACCCAAGAAAAAAATCGAAATAGGGATGCCATATAGACATCTTCATTTAAAAATGGCAACA